CTTTGGCAATGCTATTATCAACTCAACCAATTTCTAGATGCAAGATTTTTATCAATCAATCTTGGGTTTTTGTTTAACTACTTCAAATAATATTAGAAATAATAATATGCTAAATTGAAGATAATTCAATGGTAAAAAGGTCTAGGGCATTGATTTTCCCAATTGCTAGTTTAGGTCTTAACTATTTTGCTATAATCTCGCCGTAATACTATATGAGGATTATGAGCTATGGGTTATCGTAATTATCTCTCGATCAACTACGATAATTTACTAGAGCATTCTCTCGAACTACTCTAGCTAGCAATATGTGCAGCTCTAATTTATCCCACCAAAGTTTCGTTATCTCTAAACCCACTTTTAAGTTCAAGTAATAAATCTCCTCAATTACCCAAAAGTGGTGTTGTTCAATAGCAGTCTAACCTGATATTCTTTCTCAAGCAATATAAGGTAATTAGACACGATTAATCAAGGGCCCATTCAATTAATCACTATACAAAACGTAGTTGAACAATCATATAATAAATCCGACTCGATTATAACAAGTTGAGTCAAAACTTCAACCAACAATTGGTTCCATTAACCCTAGATAATTGTTTGGCTACTCATAATAAAATAAGAATAAACTACAAAGTTGTTCATAATGTATAATTGCAAGAATTAAAAGGAGATAGAAAAACTCTAATGTTTGGTTGATCTTCTCACACTTGTTCTTGCCTTCAAAGTAGTCTAAAAACAAGCTTAATAATGTCTTGGGCGAGCTTCTAAAGTTTATAAGGGTTTGGAACAAGTTTTTCCCGAATTACACTTTGGTCCCCAATTTTCTGGCAATTGACGCGGCCGCGGCGCGACCGCGGTGAAGGCTGAACATTCTGCCTCGCATAATTGTCTGTCGCGGTCGCGGTGGATTTTTCCTCAGTCCATTTTTGCTTCTTTATGCTCAGGTACTTCTTGATTGGGCGTTTTCTTCACATTATTGACTCCAAAATACTCCATAGTGCTTCCTCACTTAGATTATTCCCTGCAAAGCAAAAGAACACCAATTAGAGCATTTTGTTATCAATTCGCCTATAAAACAACAATAAAGCACGGTAATATTAAGGTGTAAATATCATCTATATAGCCTAATATCAATAGCCAACAAAGTTGAGTCCCAACAGGTGTAAAGGTGCATGTTCGTTGATAAGGTGTCTATTCAGCTATTGAATGGAACGTTTTGGTGTTTATTCAGCTGTTGGTCGCAAAAATAATTCTGCGATCTTCCAACGTGCGAAAATGATTTCGCGATCTTCCAACGCGAAAAATATTTAGAAAAGAAAATGTTAAATGGTGGAAAAGGAAAATAAATTTGGTCCAAGAAAAATTATCAATCAATCATATCAATTGATCAAATCCAAATCCAAATTCAAAGCCGAGCCGAGCGATCGACGATGCGAGGCACCACTTCTTCTTAACTCTTTAAGAGCTAGAAGATGAGCTTCTCCTATATATACACAAATATTTTCTTTCCTTTTTAACAATGAGGGACAAAGTACATTAGTAAAGTGAACTAATTCAAAATTTCACTTCCCTCAATTTTTTTTCCCACCATTTTCCATTCACACCTCTTTTGTTACTAATAACAAAACCCAACAATCCCCCACATGAATGGGGAATGGCTATCCGAAACAAATATGCATGAAAAACTGTGTGTGATTCGCAAGTAAGGATTAATCACATCTGAATAAGTAGGTTTCCCTTTGAACTTTCCGTAGTGAACATATGTCGGATGTACTCGATCAATTGGTAGATTTGATATCTTTGAACTGTCGGACTTTGGTGTATACCTAGTCATATGTCACACGATCAACCCTTAACCGTCTTTGGTTCTCATTGTTGTATTCGTTTCAGCCATGAACACTGCCTGATTTCATAAGTGCATGGAGAACTGTCCTTACAACATTCTCCTTGAAGCGGCTTACACTTCACACTCATATAGGTGATTCCTAAACGTGTTGTCTTGTAGATACACTATTTGATATACCCCGTATCAAACTTAAAAACCATTAAAAAGTCCTAACGCTTTATCCTTGGTACTGAACATTGTCTTCATTATGAGAATGGACCAAAATTTTATTTAACAATGTTGAACCGTTACTAATGACTTTGTTTGATCTCCTTGAACCTAGATCTTGGGATCTCCAGTCTTCTAGGTAGAGTTAACGCCATAGTGACTTGTCCTCGGCCATAGTCCCATTCCCTTTGATGACTTCTCAACCGCCTCTCTAGGTAGGCCTTTTGTAAGCGGATCCGATACATTATCTTTTGACTTTACATAGTCAATTGTGATAATTCCACTAGAGAGTAGTTGTGTAACGGTATTATGCCTTCGTCGAATGTGACGAGATTTCCCGTTATACATAACTCTCCCAGCCCTTCCTATTGCTGCTTGACTGTCACAATGTATGCATACAGGTGCCATAGGCTTGGGCCAAAATAGAATGTCTTCTAAGAAATTCCGGAGCCATTCAGCTTCTTCACCGGCCTTGTCTAAAGCTATAAATCCAGACTCCATTGTAGAGTGGGCGATGCATGTCTGTTTGGACGACTTCTAAGACACTGCTCCTCCACCAATGGTAATAACGTATCCACTTGTGGATTTTGATTCCGTTGATCCGGTGATCCAATTTGCATCACTATATCCCTCAACAACTGCGGGATAATTATTGTAATGCAATGCATAATCTTCGGTATATTTCAAATATCCCAAAACTCGTTTCATTGCTATCGAACGAGCTTGGTTGGGATTACTTGTGTATCGACTAAGCTTACTTATCGCACAAGCTATGTCGGGTCGTGTACAATTCATAATGTACATCAAACTTCCCAACACTCGAGCATATTCCAACTGAGATTTGCTTTGACCTTTGTTATTTACACAGTATGATTTAAATCAATTGGCGTTTTTGCTTCTTTAAAGTCCAAATATTTGAGCTTTTCAAGAACCATTTTAATATAATGAGATTGAGAGGAGTCTGTAGGATCTTAATTCCCAAAATTAAATCGGCAACTCCTAAGTCTTTCATATCAAACTTACTAGTAAGCATGCGCTTAGTAGCATTTATGTTAGCAATGTTGTTATTCATTATCAACATATCATCCACATATAAACAAAAAATGACTATTTGATTTGGAGTATTCTTAATGTAAGCACATTTGTCACACTCACTGATCTTAAAACCATTTGACAACATTGTTTGGTCAAATTTCGCATGCCATTATTTTGGTGTTTGTTTTAGTCCGTAAAGTGACATAACAAGTCGACATACCTTCTTTTCTTTTCCGGGAACTACAAACCCTTCAGGTTGTTCCATATAGATTTCTTCCTCTAAATCTCCATTTGAGAAGGCTGTCTTTACATCCATTTGATGGATTTGAAGGCCATACACGGCGGCTAACGCTGTTAACACCCGGATAGATGTAATCCTTGTTACCGGCGAGTATGCGTCAAAGTAATCAAGACCTTCTCGTTATCTAAACCCTTTAACAACTAATCTTGCCTTATATTTGTCAATAGTACCATCATATTTCATTTTCCTCTTGAAAATACATTTAGAACCCAAAAGTTTATTTTCTGGAGGAAGATTAACCAATTCCCAAGTATGATTACTTAATATGGATTCTATCTCACTATTGACTGCTTCTTTCCAATATTGTGCTTCCGAGGAAGACATTGTTTCTTTGAACGTTTGAGGCTCATTTTCCAATAAGAATGCCAGAAAATCTGGTCCAAAGGAAGTAACTGTCCTTTGACATTTACTACGTCTTGGATTTTCCTCATGAAACGTACTTTCTTTTGCTTCTTCCCGAGGCCGCTTAGATTTTTCATTAGACGACTCACATTCCATTTTATACGAATAAATATTCTCAAAGAATTCAGCATTATCCGATTCAATTATCGTAATAATATGAATGTCGAGATTTTCTGATTTATGAACCAGAAAACGATATGCCTTACTATTTGTTGCATATCCTGCGAAAACGCAATCAACGGTTTTTGGTCCAATTTTTACCCTTTTGGATTTAGGAACTTGCACGCTTTAAAATATTTTAAGTTGGGTTTCCTTCCTTTCCATTTTTCGTATGGAATGGATTGCATTTTGCTATGGGGAACTCGATTCACTATTCGGTTAGCTGTAAGAATAGCTTCCCCCCACAAGTTCTAAGGTAAACCAGAACTTATTAACAAAGCATTCATCATCTCCTTTAACGTTCTATTCTTTCTTTCCGCAATTCGTTAGATTGCGGTGAGTAAGGGGCAGTTGTTTGGTGAATAATGCCATTTTCCAAACATATTTCTTCAAAAGGAGATTCATATTCGCCGCCCCTATCACTTCTTATCATTTTGATCTCTTTGTTTAGTTGCATTTCAACTTCATTTTTGTATTGCTTGAATGCATCAATTGCTTCATCTTTACTATTAAGTAAGTAAATATAGCAATATCTAGTACTGTCGTCAATGAAAGTTATGAAATACTTTTTCCCACCGCGAGATGGTATTGACTTCATGTCGCAAATATCTGTGTGAATTAAGTCTAAAGGATTTGAATTCCTTTCAACTGACTTATAAGGATGCTTAACATACTTTGATTCCACACATATTTGACATTTCGAGTTATTGCATTCAAACTTAGGCAATACTTCCAAATTAATCATTTTTCGCAAAGTTTTGAAGTTGACGTGGCCTAAACATTCATGCCATAAATTATTTAACTCGAGCAAGTAAGAAGAAGCTGAAATTTTATTCATATCAATGGCAATTACATTTAGTTTGAAAAGGCCCTCAGTCAAGTAACCTTTTCCTATATACATTTCATTCTTACTAACTATAACCTTGTCGGAAACAAAAACACACTTAAAGCCATTCTTGACTAGAAGTGATGTCGAGACTAAATTCTTCCGCATTTCAGGAACATGAAGAACATTATTTAGAGTCACAATCTTGCCAGAAGTCATCTTCAAAGCTATATTGCCCGTTCCTTCAATTTTTGCAGTAACGGAATTTGCCATAAAACTGTCTCGTTGGGTCCAGCGGGAGCATAATAAGTAAACAACTCCTTGTTAGCACAAACATCACGAGTTGCCCCCGAATCTATCCACCATTCTCTAGGATTTCCGACTAGGTTGCATTCTGAAAGCATGACACATAAATCGTCTATTTCATCATTCTTCTCAATCATGTTAGCTTGACTTTTCTTCTTGTCCTTCTTTGGTGCACGACATTCAGCAGCCTTGTCTCCAACCTTTCCACAGTTGTGGCAATTACCTTTGAACTTCTTCTTGCTTGGGTAATTCTTTGGTCCAGGTGGCTTTTTTCTCTTTTTACTCGTTGAAGCTTCCTCAATAATATTTGCACCCATAATTGTTGAATTTCCACAAGACTTCTTTTCTGCAGCCTTGTTGTTCTCTTCAATCCTTAGGCGAACAGTAAGGTCTTCAATTGTCATGTCCTTGCGCTTATATTTCAAGTAATTCTTAAAGTCCTTACACATCGGAGGCAAATTTTTAATAAATGCCGCAGCTTGAAACGCTTCATTTATGACCATACCTACAATCATAAATTTTTAGGATTAATAATATAATCAATATCTTTAAAAATATTGATTCGATTTATACCTTCGGCAAGGAGGTCATGAACGATGACTTGTAATTCTTGAACTTGAGTTATGGCAGACTCACTGTCAACCATATTAAAGTTCAAGAATTTTGCGACAACAAATTTCTTTAGTCCAGCGTCTTCCGTTTTGTACTTCTTTTCAAGAGCGTTCCACAACTCTTTCGAAGTCTCCATGACACTGTAAACGTTGTACAAGCCCTTTTCCAAACAACTCAATATATAGCTTTTGCACAAGAATTCAGAATGCTTCCATGCCTACATGACCACAAATCGCTCATTATCCGGAGTCTCTTCTCCCAAGACTGGAACGTCCTCGCTAATAAAGCACTGCAGACTGAGAGTGGTCAGGTAGAAGAACATTTTCTGCTGCCAGCGTTTGAAGTTCATGCCGAAAAATTTTCCGGGCTTTTCTGCCGGTGCCATCGCCGGTCCAAGCATTGTGCGACTTGAAGACGTCGTAGCCATTGCAGCAGTAGTCGTTCCAACAGAACCATTTTGGTGTTCCGTACTTGTTGTCATTTTTTTTGTAAAAGAAATTGACACAAACAAAACTAGTATCTCGGTGAAGTTTTTATATATTCAAACCAAATACAAACAACCGAGTTTTTATATCTCGGATTGAGTAGAAAGTCACCGGCAAACGTTAGTTTTAAAAAACAAAGCAAAAAAAATTCCAAGCCCACAAGTTTCTTGTGTTTCCTTAAGGAATTTAATCCCCTCACACTCTCCAAGGTTGCTGATTAATTCCTCCCAGAATAGAACGGAACACCTATTATGTGATAGCGGTACTTCAAATCACAGAATTTCGGCGAACTCAAATGGCGGAGCAAATCACACAAAATGCTTGCGTTTTGTTTTTGAAAAAACCAATGCAGAATGCAGAAGATTGAAGGGAGAGATTTCAGATTTTTCGGTGGTGGAAAATGAGGCTAAGCCTCTCTATTTATAGCCAACAAAGTTGAGTCCCAACAGGTGCAAAGATGCCTGTTCGTTGATAAGGTGTCTATTCAGCTATTCAATGGAACGTTTTGGTGTTTATTCAGCTGTTGGTCGCGAAAATAATTCCGCGATCTTCCAACGCGCAAAAATGATTCCGCGATCTTCCAACGCCAAAAATATTTAGAAAAAAAATGTTAAATGATGGAAAAGGAAAATAAATTTGGTCCAAAAAAATTATCAATCAATTGACGGAAGCCGAAGCCGAGCGACGACGACGGCGGCGCGATACACCACTTCTTCTTAACTCTTTGAGAGCTAGAAGATGAGCTTCTCTCTATATACACAAAGATTTTCTTTCCTTCTTCCGATGAGAGACAAAGTGTATTAGTAAAGTGAACTAATTCCAAATTTCACTTCCTCCATTTCTTTTCCCACCATTTTCCATTCACACCCCTTTTGTTATTAATAACAAAACCCAACATAAACTACTAAACACATATATTGTTATTCCATATTTTATTTCATAATAAAATTGTATAAATTATCACATATGTTAATGCATGTATTATTTAGAGCTACCAACCAATTCTCCATAAGTAAAGTAGAAATTAATTTTTCTTATGCGACGAAATAAACATTGTTATATTATTTCTCTAAAAGAATTATACGTTAAAATTATTTTTTCTAATCTCTCCAACCTAAAGAGTTCCCCGCCAAAAGTAAAACTCCTTTGAATTTACCACGGCAACCAGCGCGGTAGATATTTTTTTGGCGCCAATCTTCCCGCCTTAAAGTTTTCCCTCCATTTTAATACACAATAACCACTATTTATAACTCCCACATAATACATCAAATTGCATCAGTTCTCAAAGTCTTTATTCTAACGTATTTTACATTAATTTCTTTTTGTAGTTTTGATTCAGTATTACCAGCGCCGCCATGGTTGTAGCCCTAGGTCCCGGAAAGTTCTATGGCAGCAGCCTACCTAGGCCACGGTTTTACTCCAACCCGAATGGCGAACAACGGGTCGATCCACCAGTATCCGTTTTGGATCCGTTAATGTCATGGGCAGAGGAAGCTCACTGGTCAATGGGCGGTCTCAGCTTCAAACGCCTCCGTTTACAAGGCCGGATCGAAGGTAACATTAAAAAACTCAAAGCTGAGCGTGCAAAGTTCGAGAAAAAAGCCCAAAAGAAGTCGCCTGTTAAGGTTTGTTTGTCATCACCAAGCTCAGTAAGTCCATCTCCTCCCCCTGCTCCGTTGAATCTGAAACGGAAAATGCGATTGGTTGATGAATCTGAGGATGAAAATGAAGAGGTAATTGAGAGGAGAGTGGAAAAAAGGGGTCCAGCTAGGAAATTGGATGCTGATTTTGATAGGGTTGCTGCGGCGAATGGTGGGAGAACAAGGAGTGCTAAAAATAGAGAAGCGGTGGTTGAGGTAGTAAATAAGGAGAAGGTTAAGGGTAAGAGATTGAAGAAGGGTTTGAAGAGTGTTGAGAAGAAGAGTGGGTTAGTGACACCACCAAGTCTGAGGAGAAGTTCTCATAGATTGTCGAAGCGTGGATCGCCTTGAAGGTGTTTGATTATTTGTCGCAGTGAGTAAAAAATATTCTGAGTACAGGATTAGCATTTTCCGTTTTGTTATGTAAGTTGGATTAACGTTTAAGGATCTTGTTAAAGTGAAGGAAAGTGTTATTATTATAAGAAACAGTCCAGTTTTCTTTTTTGCTTTTACGTTTGGCTGTCTTTTGGTGCCTGGTTTTGTGTCTGAAATTATAAATTGTGTTTATTGGTAGTACTGCAATCTGGTCTTTGCAGACTGTGATGTTTGCCTCAACTGATATGTTAGTGTTTGCACAGGGTAGAGATCATTTTAATAAATTTCTTGATTTTGGGCTGTAGAAATGCAATCATACCATATGAAAATAATCAACATGTCCATAGAGTTGATGAGATGTGTGGAGGTCAATTATATAGGATGAATTTTCAGGCTAGGATCTAAAGGTCTTGATGTGTAAAAACATTTGAAATTTTCTATCTTTGTTTGTGTTGACTGTTTCCTGTTAGGATTAGTTTTAATTTGACATAACTTCAACTACATCACTGAATCTGTCAGACAATCATAATGATCAATAACTTATGGTCAACATCAACTTGTTTTATAGTTTGTGTATTCCACAACTTGATCCTCCTTTTTCTTAGATTAATTAAGCTACTACTTTAAATTAAACTTCTACTCAATACTAGATAGAGAAGAATACTTTCACTCAACTCTCCTTTACAAGGGCAGTTTGATACATGGGCGAAGCCACATTGTATTAAGGGCGGTCATTTGACCCGTCGAAATCACTGTGTGTATGACTAAAATAGTAGTATATGGAATAATATATATTTAACACCTTTTGTCGGTGATTTTTTGTTTGTTTCAATTATTTTAATTTTGAACACAAGTCTTGACTTTTCTTTGTTATGAACAAAGGGGTGGGAATAAGTCTGCCCTAATTTGCTGTTTCCCTTTACACTTCGCAAGCGAGATGAAACACATACGCTTTATTTGTTTGCACTTAATGGAGGTCTGAATCTTAATCATCCAGATCTCAGACATTAAGTGTATTTGTTTTTAAAGTCTGAATGTTAATTATTCAGATCTTAATCATTAAGTGTATTTGTTTTTTTTATTTCACAACCACTTAATGGGTCTGAATAGGTTTGTATGATTAAGATCTATAACAGAGACTTAATTTCGTTAAGATGTTATCACATATTCATTATTAATTACCGTCACCGCCTACCATTATCAACTACCACCATGTTACCACCACCAACATACTCAACCACCACTACCACCCACCACCACTACCACCACGCTACCATCATCCTCAATCATAGCCTCCAGTATCGACCATCCCCACCACTCCGACCCACAATCAACACTCATCCGCCTTAACTACCACAACTGACCACCCCATCACCATCAACAACCACATCGGACACTGCCTATCATTATAACCTACCACCACCCACCCACTACCTTTCTCAATCACAACTACTACCACCACCCGACATTATTAACTATCACCACCCACCACCATCATCCTTAATCATAATCGCCACCACTACTAATCACTACTAGTTACTAGTATGAACCACCATCATCAACCAAAACTACCACCAACCACCGTCTCTAGTCGGCATTCACCCGTTAGCCATCACCACCAACAATTATCATATTTTTAAAAACTATACATTTTTATTAATAAAATATTAGATTAGTTAGTATTTCATTTGAATTTTACGTTTATTAATTTTCAAATAAAGATAAATTTTATACATTCAGATTTTAAAAATCAAACAGTCTTAATTATTTCTGTTCAGAACTTAATACTCATCTTAATATATTCAGATGTGTATTCACATTCAGATGTCTTAATCTTAATACACATCTTGATATTCAGATGTGTATTCAGATTCAGACGTCTTAATCTTAAAAAAAACAAATGAGGCCATAACTCAAATACAAAACTGAGATCAAGAAAGATAGGGGTCGTTTGGTTCATAACCAGGATATTCCATAACCATAGCTTGGTTAACTATCCCACCTTCTATATATAATAAGTTATATCAAGATTTTAGTATAAACATAATATCGATTTTAGATAATACCTTCAATCGAATACGGGATAAATTTAATTCCAAAATTTCCATTGATATAATATACCTAGTCTCTCGAATGGCCTCTAAAAGTCTCAACTTAATGCATACTCTTTTTTTTCCTTCTTTTTCTTTTGGCCATATAATATTGGCTTGTGAATTGAAGCAGCAAGGAATCTGGTAGCGTGTAAAGTTAGGCAACCACAGTAAAGAACGACACAGACTGAGTCTTAGAAGTAAATGTTTCCAAAAGTGTGAAAATGCCACCATGTTGCTCTCTTACTTTATGTCCCCCTCCAAATTGAGCATTCTGCACCTTCCCTGCACTATCATACCATCCATAAACAAACAAAAAAATATTAACCAATAGTTAATTATGTGTGTTCTTGTTTATAAAACGTGTTGGGTGTGCGAAAAAAGTTCTATATTGATAGTTAAAAAATTGAAAAGCTATATAGATGTAAGAATGGTATGAGACTTCTGAAGAAAATCGTACGAATTTAATGCAAACGAACAATATTAAACCATATTAAAAGTATCTTTGGACTGATTGAGCCCCACAAATAAAACCACGAATTTCTTGTCCATTTGGAGAATCTTTGGAAAAAAACTTACATGGAATAAAAGAGTTTGTGCTGATGAAGACGTGTCTAGTCAAGTTTTAGTAAACGGCACTCAGATGGTAGACACCAATAATAGCAGTAGTGGAACGATAAGTACTTTTTTATTCTTAACCAGTGATTTTAAATTCAAATTTAGAAGTAGTTTTCCCCCTAATGCAGAATTTTCTGGTACTGAATTCGAATTTAATCAGGTCTCAATACGATATGGAACAAGGAGAAGACCAAAAAAAAAAAAGACTCACATGGTTAGACTGAACTCGTATTAGTGGCATGCGGCATGCCACAAGGTCCGCAGCCCACTCACTACACACAGGTCATACCTTGTTTCAATACTAATCCCATTCTAACACGAGTTACTATTTATTAAAGCTCAACTTAAAAAAATTATTTTTGTAAAGCAAGTCATTTATGACTAATAAAAAAATGATTAACTAATGCAATGAACCTTTAATGCATGTTATACTTTATTTATCTGATGACAAATCTACTTATTATAAGAAGTTTGCTTTAATTATCTTTTAAGTGATCTCATCGTTTAAAATATTTTGGTATTTACAAAGTTAAAATCATAAGATAATACTTTCTCTGTCCTCATTTCTGTGGCATTTACTTTTTTAGTCTGTCCCATAAAAATAATACATATCTATATTTAGTACTTGAAACTTTTTATTTTCTCCTTAATGAGATAATTTATAGTCACAAAAATTTGTTTGGCTTATTTTAAACTACAAATTCGAAAAGCTTTTTTTTTCTAATGCCTAGTCAATACCAGTACATAAATTAAGACTGGAAAAAGTAATAGGTACTATAGTTCTTTATTTTAAACATAAATTAATGACTTAGTTAAATGACAACTTAACAATGTCTAACATGTTAGGGGTCGTTTGGTTTGAATACGGTTTATGCCGGGATAAATTATGATGGGATAAGTTACGCTGGGATTAGTTATGCTTGGATTAGTTATCCTGGTATTCTTTTTATCCATTGTTTGGTATGTTGTATTAGAAATGACAATTGCATAATTTCTAAGAAGAAGGTATAAGTTATCCCGACACTAATTATCCCACACTCTACAAGGTATAAGTTATCCCGATACTAATTTTAATCCCGAAATAACTTATATCAGATTTGCTAACCAAACAAAGTATTAAGATAATATTAATTTTTTATATCAGCACTATATCTTCTTATACCTCATACCAAACGACTCTTTAAAGTATACATCAATAGAGTAAAAAAGCTTAACACTAATGCCCTTAAAGCCCTATTCACCAAAAATATCAAACAACAAAAATCAAGAAAAAGAGAAAGAGGGCAGAAAGAGGAGAGAAATAGAAAGAGCAAATCCAAAGCAACAAAATCAATGGCTGAAACAAAACAAGAATTAGAACCTCCTCTATTCCCAACATCACCAATTCCACCATCAGCTACTTCCTCTATGTTTCTCTTAAAACTTATGAGCAAAAGAGGAACATGGGTTTTTCTCTTTATTACAGTTTACACAATCTTGTTATCACTTTCTTGGAATTTTCTCAAATCAGTACTTTCTTGGTACGAATCAGCTGTACCCCTTAACTCAACTTCTTCAGCTTTGTATGCATCTATGGTATTAGGAATTGCTTTTGGAGTTTTATCCATGGTAGCAGCTTTAGTTGTGGTTGTTCCAGCAACACTTGTGACATGGATTAGTATATTGGTTTTATTAACATTTGCTGGAAAAGGGAGAAAGGATTTGGTTTTAGAGGGGAAGAAAATGACTGCTGAGATTATTGGGTTTATAGTTAAGGTTTTGATTAGAGAAGGGAATTTAGTTGCTGCAATTTGTGCTGTTCTTGGGTATTTTGCACTTGTTAGAAGAAATAAAGAAGATGGTATTGATTATTGATCAGGAGTAGATCAAGGATTCGAGCCGTAGAAACGATATCTTGAAGAAATGCAAGGCAAGACGGCATACAATTGGCCCTTGTGGTCCGATCCTTATCCGGATCACGTGCATAGTAAAAGCTTAGTCCGCCGGGCTGCCTTTTTTTAGTATTGAGTATTGAGTTAAATAATTAGGGGTGTAAGAGATTTTCACTTAAACTCAGCTTGTAAAAATAGGTAAGATCTAATGTTTTCTTTGGATTTTTGGGGGGTTATTCTTTATATGTATGATATGTGTAAAGTGTATGCTGTTGTGCTGTTTGTAGTAACCTTTGTCTTATTGTATTATGAAAAATACAGAAGAAAAGGAAATCTATTACAGTATCTTGCTGTGAGTTGGAATTAAGCTAGTTGTAACATATGGTGGTGTTGATTTATGACTATTCTAGTTTTTAACCTTCTTCTTTTTTGGATTTCTGCAGTGCGCCTGGATAATTCTAGAGGTTAGAACGACGAATTCAAATCTTAATAACTAAGTCTAACTTTAATATTTATTCATATTTAGAATTTTTAAATATAAGTAGATTGTTTGAGTAAAACCTATTGGGTTCAGTCAAACTCATATTCGGGCTTCTAGCTCCGCCCCTGCATCTGAACTCTGGGACTCTAGAGACTGGATCGACAGAATTAACAAGCAGGCACGTAACTAGACGCAAGTATTTTGATAAATTTTTTAGGGAAAATACACAAATTGTCACCTAAATTTATTTGGAAAACTCATTTACAAAGCTGTAATGCCCTTTTTGCCTTCGTGCTAATCTGGGATATGTTATTTTGAAAAAGAATTTCACCAAGCTGTAATGCTCATTCACGTAAACTTGGTGATTCTTAATGTAATCTTCAAACAAAGAGTGATTGTTTAATTACTTTTAAAGTTACTTTTGAAATTACTATGAAAACTAGTTTTAGGAATTTTATCGAATACTTAGAATGCGAGTAAAGATGTAGTTGTAACAGAAGGCGCTAGGATTGCTTCCCCTTCGTGTAGGCTATGCTCTTGGGTATACAAATGTTCAATTCTAGTTAATTAAGCGTGTGTTATGGCCTCAATTTCTATCCTACCAACTTAATGTCTTCCAACACTTTAAAGGTTTTTTACCCCAAGTTGCTCTTCCAAGTCAACTAAGGCTCAATGACAAGTAATTGATGAGCCCTTGTGGTCCGACCCTTCTACGAATCTCGTGCATAGTAAAAGTTTAGTGCACAAGTGAATTGGAACTAAGCTATTTGTACGTTGTAACAAATGTTGGTGGTGATGTATGACTATTCTAGTTTTCAACCTTCCTCTTCTTGGATTTCTGCAGCTCGTTTGGACGGGGCGGAGCCAGGATTTCGACGTTTTTGAACGACGACTTCAAATTTTAATAATTGGGTTTTAAATTTAATATTTGTTGATATTTAATGAATTTTAAACACAAATATACTGTTTAAATAAAAGCTACTGGTTTATTCGGGCTTCTAGCGTCTGGACTCCGGAGTATTTTGATAAAGTCTAGAGAAAATACACAAGTTGTCACGTAAGTTTATTCGGAAAAGTCATTTACACACTTTAACTTTATTGGCAACCTCTTATTCCAATGAGACATAATATGTAGCTATTTTTCATTTACCATTCAGTATGTGTTACTAGTAAAATTTATGCAATTTAAAAGAATGTAAAACCACAACTTTCAAAGGAAAAGAAATATCCTAAAACCACATTTATCATATTTTTTATGTAGTTTTTAAATATGTAAATTTTATTTTCAAAAGCTTGGATAATCTATGCCTAAATTCACGATCAAAATCATGAACTTTGACCCTCGTACTCCAAATTTCGCCATATAAAGTGAAATAGAACAATTATTAAATAGAGTTACTTGTAATTTATTTTTTAGTTGATCTGAATATGTATGTATTTTTATTAAGTTTTGTAATTAACTATGGCACTTGTGTTCACAACAGGCACAGAAATTTAACATAGCCAATCTATTCCTTTCCTTTATGGACCTTCTCTTACGATCGAGAATAATTCTGTTAACTATTTTCATATCCAAGGATGGGGGAGGTAGGGTATTATTTATGGGTTCGGCCGAACTCATTAGCTTTTACTTAGATCCTATATTTATATTAGAAAATTTATTAAATTTGTATAAATAGTTAATTAAAATCCAACAACTAAAACGTGCTATGGATTCGACGTCAAATTCACAACACGTATACTTCAAATTCTAACTTCGCCTTTTGAAGACCAAGGGCACATAATAGAGTATAACTTTTGCAACTTGAACCCCTTTAGGTATTTGAAGGAAAGTTATAGGACATGACATTTTCTTTAGGTACTTAGAAAATCTTGTAAATGGCACGCATTTTCTTTTCCCCATAAGTAGTGTTAACAACTTTATTCTGCACTATTCAACTGTAACGTTTCAATCCGACCAAAGAATCTCACTTCTCATACCTTTCCCTGCTCATCACTCATTCCTTTCTTTTTGTTGCCAAACACGGAGAAGTTTTATTTTGTGTCTCATACAACTTACACTAGTTGTATGAGGCTCCTTTTTGTCTTATAAATTTATGGACCCAATCTTACACTTCTGGGTCCACAAAATTATGAGACACAAAAATTGCCTCATACAACTAGTATCAGTTGTATGAGACACAAAATAAAATTTTCCCCAAACACGTATAAGTTTTTCTTTTTTCTTTATTTCATAGTAATAATGGGCGGGCCTCGTGAGATTTATGTCAATCAAACAAAGGTCGAAGGAACATTTAGTTAATTAAGGGGTATAACAGCGCTAATTGGTGCCATTTTCAGACCTAGCAGCACACGGCCGGGCCGGGCCTAAACTCATACCGGACTAGACTCTTCTTTGTTTGAGCTTCTCTGAATAGGAATTTTTACCTCACATAGCAAAGGTTAACTCCTTATTTATTTTAAATAAATACCATTAATAAAAATTATATTTTATAGATACCTTTTAATGTTTATAGCAAAATATCTAATTTTGCTTACCTCCTACCCCTAAGCCACTAAATACGCTATTCAGTTACACTATTTTCTTTCTCTCTCTACTTTGATACATGCCATTCTCTTCCCCATTCCCTGAAAACACGATACTCAATCTCAACAAAGATCGTGCCACCAAAAGCCCAAGCAATACCAAGAATACCACCGCCGCCACGGATATGGCCGCCATCTTTAGTATCCGACTGATGCTTGTACCCAATTACAGTCATTAACTGCCTTTGTGGCATGTGTAATTTTCATTCTCTATCATCGTCGACAGAAGAAAAGTGACGCTGGTTCGTCTTTGATCTCCAGTAGCATCCTTTCTTATCCCTCCTCAATAACGGGCCCTGAAAAGGCTTCACACTATTTCGGAATTCACGTATTTGACTACAATGAACTGCAAGAAGCCACAAGCAATTTCAACGGAGTTTGGGGCTTTTGGTGGCAGTATCTCCAGTAGGGTTTGTTCTTGAACAAAGACAAAGGAGTTTGGGGCTGAGCAACTTTTCTGTTAATATATTTCAATGTATTTTCAACGTATCATGCTGTATTTTCATGTATTTCATTGTATTCATTTTCTTTTTTTCATTGTAATTCAATGTATCTCGCTGTATTCCATGTATTTCATTGTATTCACTGTCTTTTTTTTCAATTGCATTTCAATGTATCCCGCTGTATTCTATGTATTTCCTTGTATTCACTGTCTCGCTATATGCCATGAATGTATTCATATATTTTTTTTAATTAATATAATTTATGTATTCAGATGTATTATATAATTTATCTGAAGATTGCTATGTTTTGGGGTATTTTTCGGTTGAGAATCTTTTTTATAACTAGAAATACAAAATTTGTGTGTTATAATTGAGTTTGTTGAGTTATATTAGGAGTCTATTATGTTAATTAATTTACTTTCCCTTTAAAAACAGTATAATCCCTGTTTCACGCCGTGAATACAGTCGAATACAATAAGCTGTCCAGCTGTAATCCCACGTTTCACGCCATGAATACAGTCGAATACACTCGAATACAACAACTGTTTAGCTGGACTTCCCTGATTTACGCCTATTTTTGCTATTGTATTTATGAATACAGTAGCTTAAATACAACTAATACATCTTATAACAACAGAAAATGTATCTACAATCCGTAATATAGCAAATGGTATCTATAGATAGCTAAATACCACTAAAAGATAATGCTTTATGAAAATTTCTCCTCTGAATATCTCCCTTGTCTTGGACAAATTGATGAGGCTCTAGCTCAAGACCTTTGTCTACTATTACTATATTGAATCGTGTTGTCATTTGATGGAGAAGCTTAATTTGTTAGTTATAATATATTTCTATTTAGTTTAAATCTATAAAAAATTTAAAGCATCACTTAGCAAAGAATAACATGATTAACTGCTCAAATTCTAAGTCTAAATATGACCTCTTTTTGTGTAAATGCAATTTGCAAATACAAAGAACGGCCTATTCAAATTTTTCAAAACAAAAAAATATGTGAATGTAGGTCCATCATTTACAAGAAACTGGATACATTTTTCCTTTTGAAGATAAATTTAATCTACAAAGTTAACAACGACAAGGTTTAAAAAATGACCTCAGAAAGGACCATAAATTCAAATACAAAGTGGAAAAATTAGAAGTTCATGCATGTATGAGTCAAAATCTCTCTCTATAATACTTAAGTCATGATGGCACTAGCTAAACACTCTCAGGCCACCACGTGTCGAAGTGGCTTAACGAACAATGAAGGTCGTAGTTGAAGAGTCAGCAAGGATTAAGGTCGAGGAGTCGTCAAGGATCGAGGCCGAGGTCAAATACCCTTGAAAGAGTTATAACGGCTAGTTTCAAGATAGGACATTAAAGAGAATATTCTAGTGGATATTCTTTGCACTTGTACTGTTAGGGTTTCTAGGAACATGTTTCCTATAAATAGAAAGAGATACAATGATAGATGACATGAAATATTCATTTATAAAATACACTTTGACTTTATTGAGAGAATCTGGCCTTATTACAAGCATATAAAAACAGCTTTTTACTAAGATTCTGATTTACACTTCTCCACTGGATCCGAGAATAACTCGAATATTCAAAGGCTGATTTATCATTCATCATTGTCAAGAAGAACATCTACTGATTTCATCCTTTCTCGGGTGACCCATACCTTTTATTTACATAAATGCCTTTTATTGCTATTCATCACTATTTAATGCTACATTTCTTCCTTTTGGGTCTTTGAATATTGTCATTATTGTGCACCATCATAACCTTTGGAATAGATATACGTTTTATTTATCACCATACCGAGAATTTCATCTTTAGGATATTGTTATTAACTCA